TGGCCACGGACATGAGGACAATGGTTGCCACCTGTCCTGGGAAGCAAAAACTGCCGTCCCAACACACCTGTGTGTTTCATCTGGGACGTTCACACCCGCAAGTCAAGCGCCCTAGGCGATGTTCTCTCGTGCAGTCGTCCCACGTTTAAATATTGCGAGCTAATTCTCTCTTTCCACGATACGTCCCCACTGGTGTTGTACATTACTTGTTTAGGTTCTCAAGTAAAGCAAAAGCAGAATGACGGGTAAATTGATTTAAATCAATAGTACGTAGTATGATGATCTTGACTATTATTCTGGTGATGATTGCAAATATATCTCAATTTACATAAGTGCAGCATTACGATTTTGTTAAATATTGCAATTCAGACATCTGTCAATTGATATGGAGAGTGTGAGCAGTCACAAGCAACCCCAGCAGTCCATTAATGCGTTTGCCTGCTCTCGTATGCATGTGCGTTGGACTTCTTTCGCACCGTACGTAGCCAACCGCGCTAATCTCCAGGCCGGGCCATGCCCTCTGGGGCAGTGGTTCTTAACATTTACTGCAGCCATGCAGCCCTTAGGTTCTCAATCGTATTTTTTGTTAAATAAATACACATGTTACATCAAAGAAAGTTAAATTGTACTTACATGCCCTGCTTAATTTGTGTTTTCGATTATTTACCTTCTAAAGCAATCTGCCCATGCCTCGCACCCCCAGAAAGGGCATCTCTCAGGGGGGGGGGGGGGTGAGAGATGCACCCCAGGTGAAGAACCACTGCTCTAGGGGAAAGCAAGAGTTGGGGGTTTTTGGAATGGGGACATTTTTTTTGGAGCAGAGCTCCCACCAGGTTGCAACTCTCATCCTTCTGCAGTTGCTCGCGGAGGGTGGGCAAGACGGTGGAGGAGCTCGATGCCAAGGACGATGTCTGCTGCTGGCCACCACGACGAGAGGGCTTCAGCAGAGAGAGACAGGGAGAGTTCAGAGTTCGCGTCGTGTTGCTCGTCAGTTGGGAGGCGCGCAGACCACTGCAGTGCTTCACGGTGTGGTCCAGAGTTTGCGTCACGTGGCCACAGACGCACTTACCGTGCGCACGATCGTCATTCCAGTTGTAATTTCAATGACAAAACTTATTCGTAAAATCAAGCACGCCGGTAAGAAACGTGTTTTCTTGATACAAACGATCGCGAAAAATTACGACTTTTCTCATACAACTGTCCACGAGACAGTGATTACAATTCCACATTCCCATGACGTGGACCAGTATTGTCCATTTGACAACCATATCACGACAATTATTGTCCAAGTGACGGTCCTCGTTTTACCAGCCCCGGGATGCGATTGACTCTCTACCTCAGGGAGGCGACCTCCCGACACACACTGCTGATTGATTGTGTACAGTCGTGTGCAAATACAGCCATGTACATCGAGTAAAAGTGGCGTGTGTGATGAGGATGTGTGTGATAGGTGTGTGATGAGGATGTGTGTGTGATGGGGATGGGTGTGAGATGTGTGTGTGATGTGTGTGATGTATATGTGATGAGGATAGGGATGGGTGTGTTTGTGTGTGATGGGAGTGTGTGTGTGTGTGATGGGGGTGTGTGTGTGATGGGGGTGCGTGTGTGATGGGTCTGTGTGTGTGTGTGTGATGGGGTTGTGTGTGTGATGGGGGTGTGTGTGTGATGGATCTGTGTGTGTGTGTGTGCTGGGGGTGTATGTGTGATGGGGTTTTGTGTATGTGTGTGTGATGGGGTTGTGTGTGTGATGGGTCTGTGTGTATGTGATGGGAGTGTGTGTAATGGGGTTGTGTGTGTGATGGGTCTGTGTGTGTGTGTGATGGGTCTGTGTGTGTGTGTGATGGGTATGTGTGTGTGTGATGGGAGTGTGTGTGTGATGGGTCTGTGTGTGTTGGGTCTGTGTGTGTGCGTGATGGGTCTGTGTGTGTGTGTGATCGTTTGTGATGGGGTGGCGTGTGACTAGGTTTGTATGCTGGGCTGTTTCAGTTTGAAGCTTTAGGTGGTGGTGGTGGTTGTTCAGCAGCGAGAAAGCAGCATGGTGCCCTGGGGCGTGAGTAACCTCGCCCTAGGGAGCGATGGTCGCTGCTCTGCAAGCCAATTGAGAGTAATCTATGGTGTCATTTTGAAAGTTGCAAAAATGTGGACCCTTCACGCGGGCATACGACGGCCTAACCCTTGCTAATGCCGTCAGGGGGTCTTTAGCGATCACCGTGAAGCAGAGGGCACGTGGTATCGTTGCGTTTATTGCACCCGCAGTTATAACCAGGGGCGGCCGCTCGATTCGAACCGGCAACCTCGACAACGAGCGGCGAATGCCGTTCGGATGTGATGATGATGAGTGTGATTGGTGTGTGTGTGATGATGATGAGTGTGATTGGTGTGATGATGATGAGTGTGATTGGTGTGATGATGATGAGTGTGATTGGTGTGATGATGATGAGTATAATTAGTGTGATTGGTGTGTGTGATGATGACTGATTAGTGTGTGTGATGACTGTGATGGGTGTGATTGGTGTATGATGATGAGTGTAATTAGTGTGATTGGTGTGTGATGGTGTTGAGTGTGATTGGTGTGATTGGTGTGTGATGACTGTGATGGGTGTGATTGGTGTATGATGATGATGAGTGTGATTAGTGTGATTGGTGTGTGTGATGATGAGTGTGATTGGTGTGTGTGTGTGTGATGATGATGACTGTGATGAGTGTGATTGGTGTATAATGATGAGTGTGATTGGTGTGTGTGTGTGTGTGTGATGATGAGTGTGATTGGTTTGTGATGACGATAAGTGTGTATGGTGTGTGATGATGATGAGTGTGATTGGTGTGTGATGATGATGAGTGAGATTGGTGTGTGATGTTGATGAGTGTGATTGGTGTGTGTGTGATGATGATGAGTGTGATTGGTGTGTGATGATGAGTGAGATTGGTGTGTGATGTTGATGAGTGTGATTGGTGTGTGATGATGATGAGTGAGATTGGTGTGTGATGTTGATGAGTGTGATTGGTGTGTGTGTGTGATGGAGATAGGTGATGGGGTGTGCAATATAGTACGTTATAGGCCCGATGGGGTGGGGGTGAGGGTGTACGACAGCTGTGTGCGATGGGGATGTACACGGTGATGGGTGATGGGGGTGCATGCACGGGAGATGTGATGTAGGAGGCGTGTGTCGTGTTCGTTGTATCATATGAAGTGTACACACTTGGGGTGTGCTGCTGAGGTGTTGTCATACGTGTAACATAGCGAATGAGATACTCTACACACGTGCGATGTGCGTGTAACAGGCTGTGTGCGATGTCTTTCACAGGCGTGCAGTGACGTGTGATGAGTGTGAGATGTTGTGTGATGTTGTGAGATGTTGTGTCATGGGGGTGTTACAGGGGTGTAATGGGTGATGCATATGTAGTGTGTGTGATGATGGGGGTGATGGCAGTGTGTGATGGATACGTGTGATGGTGGGGAGGCGATGAGTGTATGTGTGGTGTTGTGGTGTGGTGTGTGTGTGGTGTGTGTGTGGTGTGGTGTTGTGTGGTGTGTGTTGTGTGGTGTGGTGTGAGTGTGGTGTGTGTTGTGTGGCGTGTGTGGTGTGGTGTTGTGTGTGTGTGGTGTTGTGTGGTGTTGTGTGGTGTGTGGGTGTTGTGGGAGTGTGTGGTGTTGTGTTGTGTGTGGTGTTGTGTTGTGTGTGGTGTGTGTGTGGTGTTGTGTGGTGTGTGTGTGGTGTTGTGTGTGTGGTGTTGTGGGTGTGTGTGTGGTGTTGTGTGGTGTGTGTGTGGTGTTGTGTTGTGTGTGTGGTGTTGTGGGTGTGTGTGGTGTTGTGTGGTGTGTGTGTGGTGTTGTGTGGTGCGTGTGTGGTGTGTGTGTGGTGTGTTGTGTGTGTGCTGTTGCATGTGGTGTGTGTGGAGTGTGTGTGTGGTGTTGTGTGTGTGTGTGTGGTGTTGTGTGGTGTTGTGTGTGTGATGTATGTGTGGTGTTGTGTGTGTGGTGTATGTGTGGTGTTGTGGGTGTCTGTGGTGTGTGTGTGGTGTGTGGTGTTATGTTTGTGTGTGGTGTTGTGTGTGTGGTGTTGTGTGTGTGTGGTGTTGTGTATGTAGTGTTGTGTGTGTGTGGTGTTGTGTGTGTGGTGTGGTGTGTGTAGTGTTGTATGGTGTGTGTGTGTGGTGTGTGTAGTGTTGTATGGTGTGTGTAGTGTTGTATGGTGTGTTGTTGTGTGTGTGTGGTGTATGGTGTTGTGTGTGTGTGGTGTGTGTGTTGTGTATGTTGTGTGTGTGGGTGGTGTTGTATGGTGTGGTGTGTGTAGTGTTGTGTGTGGTGTTGTGTTGTGTGTGGTGTGGTGTTGTGTTGTGTGTGGTGTGGTGTTGTGTGTGTGTGGTGTGTGTAGTGGTGTGTGTAGTGGTGTGTGTAGTGTAGTGTTGTGTGTGTGTGGTGTTGTGTGTGTGGTGTTATGTGTGTGTGTGGTGTTGTGTGTGTGTGGTATTGTGTGTGTGTGGTGTTGTGTGTGTGTGGTGTTGTGTGTGTGTGTGGTGTTGTGTGTGCGTGGTGTTGTGTGTGGTGTTGTGTGTGTGGTGTTGTGTGTGTGTGGTTGTGTGTGTGTGGTGTTGTGTGTGTGGTGTGTGTAGTGGTGTGTGTAGTGTAGTGTTGTGTGTGTGTGGTGTTGTGTGTGTGTGGTGTTGTGTGTGTGTGTGGTATTGTGTGTGTGTGGTGTTGTGTGTAATGAGCGTGCGATGGACACCGGGTGATGGATGAGCGTTGTGCAATGCGGGGTGCGTGATGGCTGTGTGGCGTGGTGGGTTATCTCTTGCCTATGGCAAATATGTTGAGGAGGTAAATGGCGATGACGAGGTGTGTGCTGTGTGATGGCTGTATCCAATATGACCGCTTGGTGGGTGGGCGGGTGCCGGCCGTCATAGGTGGTGTCCGCTAACAGCACTTGTCCCAACAGCCTGTTACTACAGGCTACACGGGGGGGATCTTCGTCCTCGTGTCGCTCCGCGTCTGCTCTCACCTGGCCCAGGTATTCGTTGGCCACCAGGTGCTGCTCCCGGGGCTTGAAGCAGTTCTGGCACCGGCTCCTGTCAAAGATGTTCGCCTCGAACCTCTGGCAGTGTCCCTCCGGGGCAGGCATCCTTCCACGCTCGCCTCCCGGTGCTAGCTCCGTCTCTCTCTCTGCAGGTGGTGGTGCAGGTAGTGGAGGTGGTGGTGGAGGTGATGGTGGAGGTGGTGGTGGTGATGGTGGTGGAGGTAGTGGTGGAGGTGGTGGTGGAGGTGGTGATGGTGGTGGAGGTGGTGGTGGAGGTGGTGGAGGTAGAGGTGGTGGTGGAGGTGATGGTGGTGGAGGTAGAGGTGATGGTGGAGGTGGTAGAGGTGATGGTGGAGGTGGTAGAGGTGGTAGAGGTGGTCACTCGCAAACGGCACTGCTGTGCCCGCGTGTCGCTCCTCTGAGCGTCATCCCGTGAGCAGGGAGGCCGCCACGGGAAGGGTTCCTCCTCTTCTCACCTCGTTCCCCCTCCCCCCCACCCCTTGTCAAGAGGAATCTCCACCAAAAGCAGTGTGAAGATAAATAAAGTGCGATGCTGATTGATGGCGGTGTGGATGGTGGTGATTGTGGGTCGGAGCTCGTCACGTGCCGCCGCTACAGTCCACACAAACTCCGTCGCTTGCGAGCGGCAGCCCCGCACCGCTCCATTCACAAAACGTCGTCGCCCCCTCCTCCCCCGGGGCGACGCGAGCCCCACGGCGACCTCCACCACTCTGGGCCGAGCCCCGCCACGCCGCTCCGACAGTGCGGCAGAGTGGCAGTCGGAAGGGAGCGTAGGGTGGTGGTGGTGGTGATGATGGTGTGGTGGTGGTGTTGGTGGTGATTTTGCGCCGTGTGTTCTCTAGGGCTCAGGCTCCTCCCAGCTGAGCAGGGGGTGGGGTTCACCTCTCCGCTCTGCCTCTCCCTCCCTCTCCTCCCTGCCTCTCTCTCCCTGCCTCTCCCTCCCTGCCTCTCTCCCTGCCTCTCTCCCTCCCTCTCCCTCCCTGCCTCTCCCTCCCTGCCTCTCTCTCCCTCTCCTCCCTGCCTCTCCCTCCCTGCCTCTCTCCCTGCCTCTCTCTCCCTCTCCTCCCTGCCTCTCCCTCCCTGCCTCTCTCTCCCTCTCCCTCCCTCTCCTCCCTGCCTCTCCTCCCTGGCTCTCCTTCCCTCTCCTCTCTCCCTCTCCTCCCTGCCTCTCCCTCCCTGCCTCTCCCTCCCTGCCTCTCTCTCCCTGCCTCTCCCTCCCTGCCTCTCTCTCCCTCTCCCTCCCTCTCCTCCCTGCCTCTCCTCCCTGGCTCTCCCTCCCTCTCCTCTCTCCCTCTCCTCCCTGCCTCTCCCTCCCTGCCTCTCCCTCCCTGCCTCTCTCTCCCTGCCTCTCCCTCCCTGCCTCTCCGCCTCCTCCCCGTCTCGCCCACTTCACCCCCCGCGAGGCCGAGGCGGCCGCGGCTTCTGCGCCCATTGGCGGCAGTGCCACGCCACCCCCCGCCTCACCGCGCGTGGCCCTTTGCACCACTGGGACCGTGCGTTGGAATTTCTTTCGCGCCGTACGTGGCCGGCCGTGCTCCTCGGAGCTGCGTTGTGCCGTGTCGCCCTCCGCCGCTAATGGGGTTGTGTGTGGGGTTTTTTTTTCAGGTTTGTGGTTGGTCAGTACCGATGTTCGACGTTTCGCTCCACACGCTGGAAGCTTATTCAGGAACTGACGTTCAGGTGCAGCCCTGCAATTGCTCAAGAGCGTATTTGGCCTACTCTTTCACGCTTGTCAAAGGTCGTTGAAGAGGTGGGAGTACCCACTCTTGACAGTTCGGAAACTAAAACAAAAACGATGAAGCGTACATGGCGCTGTGGTGCACACACGCAGTGTCCTGGCGGGGCGTTGCCTGGCACGTCGGGTTTTAATCCGAAGGGCCCCTAGAGGGAGAGTCCCACGGTTTCCCGGTGCCAGGAGATTGGCCGACCCCCACAGGACAGGTTACATTGCGATGCCCCTACAATTGGCTTAAAATTGTCTGGGCGCAGAAAGAGAAAGTTCCCTGGGCCAACCGCGTTGAGTTACTCACGACGCTGGGGGGAGGGCGGAGGGCGGAATATTAAGCGAGCAAAAGCGCAGCGCCCTTCCAGACAATGGGCAACGAGGGACAATGGGTGGCCGGCGAGGTAACAAGGGGCCGGTAACCACAGGTAGGCGCACGATTGGCTGCGTGGTATGATATCACCCTGGGCCTTTGAAGTTTAGAGAATAAAAATGTGGCCCGGGACGATTTTGGTCTCTTGTCTTCAACCTCCGGGCCGTCAAGACCCTCTGTCTCTGCCGTCCTGCCTCCTCGAGCCGCTCGCAGCATCCGTGTGATGCCAGCGAGTGCTGCTACGAGGCAATGATGGGTGAAGTTTTCGCTCGTCCTTCTCCCTCCGACTCTCACAACGTCCGTGCGACGCCGTGAGCACAGCTACGAGGTACGTGGTAGGACGTTTCAGCGACTGCGTTCGTAGGCAGAGTCAGGCTAAGCTCTTCCCGCGACATATCCCCCCCTCCAGGTAGGGTGTATTTGCTCCGTTAATGAACTTTAGTACAGAGTATCGGTGCAGTGTGATTTCAGCGTTCAAGTGCGGTGTTTTTTTCTGGAAGAATTTGCTGTTTTTTCCAGGATGTTTCTGTTGCGCGTAGTCACTTTAAGATGTTTCTGGGCCCATGTTTTTGTTTGGTTGCGGTTGCACCCGAGTCAAGAGCCGCATGGCTCACAGGGTTATACCTAGTAAATTAAACTGAAAAAAATTAACTTGTGTGGCGGTGTACGCGGGAGTTTGCGGGATAACCCCGGGCGGTGGCGTGCCCGCAGCCACTTAGCCGTGTCCCTCAGGGGGGGCGCTGGCGCGGGGGGGGGCGATCACCCGATCGGCGGGGGCCCGGCGAGAGGCGCCGACGAGGGGGAGGGGGGAGTGGAGGGGGGGTGGACGTCCCGCCCCCCCCCCCTCCACAGTGTCATTAACCAGCGTGTGTTCTCTCGCCTATGGGCTCAATGAACTGTTGCAGTTTAGCAACTCGATTTCGTTTCCTGAAGAAGCTCCCAGCACGTGGAGTGAAACGTCGGACGTCACGCCAAACAAGACCGCGGAGAAAGCTGTAAACTCTACAGCTCGCTCTTTACAATTGAATGTGGTGATCTACTTACAGACCAGCAGCAGCCATGATCAATCCACTGCTGGATGGCCTTCCCCAGGCCGTAGCGATCTCTCACGATCCTGCCATGCAAGAATCCATGCAGCAACACCCGCACACGGGCTGGTCTCAAGCCCATCTATCTACTCACCGTTAAAGTTGAAACGATGCCTTATTTTAAGTCCGCGTTTTTTTCTCGCTCGCGCGAACACACAAACACACACGTGTTCCTCGTTCTGTCTCTAAATGACATTCTAATAACACATCTCTCCATTCATAGACACCCCACTGAAGTAACAGTGAGATATACAACATTTTACTTCAAAGCTTCGATATTTCTCAAAGCTCAATACACGTCTTATTCAATCTTACACGATTTTCTAAGATATGGGAGCCATCGTTTGCTGATAATACTCTCCACGTTAAAACAAATCTGAGTGTTTTAAACAAGCCAGCTGACACGCGGTCTTCTCTGTGAGTGCATTTTTTTATTCCCAGCAGCATTGCGTTTTGTTTAAGACAATAACAACCCTGAACCGGTGTCGACATTCAGTGTCTCATCAGCAAAGTGAGGCTTGCTGAAACCAATATTGGTGAACTCTGAGCTGGAATCGACAAAGCCCCATCTCTGTTAGACACGGGTCCTCCTGTAAGACACGGGTCCTGTAAGACACGGGTCCTCCTAGTTCAACGTAAAACCGAATCGTATGTAACACACGATAATCACGATATGCAAACACCTGTTAAGAATATAGTTAAGAGAGTTATTAGAAAACATTGAACTATCTATAAATGAATCCACCTATGCAACTATGTAACTTTTTTTTATTTTACCAGGCTAGGCCCACTGAGCTATATAGCTCTTTTGTAGATGATAGCTCAACGAAGTGGCCCATCGCGTATAAATGTACAGCAGTCAAATACGCTCAACGCATTTTTATTCTTAACGTGGAGGGAAAACCCGAAAGACCTGGAGAAAAATCCACGCGACCATGGGGAGAGAGACACGCAAACTCCAAATATACAGCAGGCGTCAGGGTCGGGATCAAACCCCCAACCTCCTGTACACCAGGCGAGGTAGTTAACATCTCCTAGCCACCGTGGCCCCAGTTCTGAGTACAGGGCCCCAAGGCCCGAGGCACGAAGCGACCAGCAACAAGCAGTACTATTGAGGGTGTAAGAGGCGAGAGTAAAATACATTCCTTGTATTTAAATACAGTATCTACCGTGTAAAGCAATGCAATATTCAAAGTCATTCCTAAACCTGGCAGTGTTAAAATGACCTCACTATTACAGGAAAATTACTGCACGAAAATGTACCAGTTTAACCCTGGAGAATTATTCGTTTGATTATAATAGGAGGGAGGCAGTCATTTCCTCGTGTTATGCTACATCTATTAATTACACTCGCCACTCAAAAGGAACCTCCCTGGTTTGTTTGTTTGTTTCAAAACCCATTGAGGACATCTCCGCTTGCTTGCCGTGTTGCTCGACTTTTAACTCACTCGGTGTTCAAAACAATACAACCCCACTACAAGTACAGCATTCGCCGCAGCCTTGGCCGAGTGTACAGAGGCCTAAATGAAGTGGCTTCGGAACTAGCTCCGTGACATCAACTTCCGCGATCGTTCTCTTGACACAGGGTGGTGGTGGTGGTGACGACGATGATACACCGCTAGCTGCAGAGTCCCGAATGGCCATTCTTTACCTCGTGACCTGATGCCGTGTACCAGGCGTGTGTGTGTACCAGCCGTGTGTGTACCAGGCGTGTGTGTGTGTGTACCAGGCGTGTGTGTGTACCAGGTGTGTGTGTGTACCAGGCGTGTGTGTGTACCAGGCTTGTAAGTGCGCCCACAGCACTGTTAGAATGTATTCGTTTGGTGGCGGAGATCCAAATAAAACATAGACATTGTATGTGTACACTCTTTGGTTCTTTCGGTAAAGTCACGTAGGTATAAAATATGATACATAATATATAAAACTACGTGACTTTACCGAAAGCACCAAAGAGTATGGATTCCTGCCGTCACGAAAGCTTCAAATCAAGATTGTATGTGTACATGAGTAAAAAGCTTGCCGAGATGTGTTTGTTTCACTTGATAGGGAT